AATCGACACCGTTGCCACACTAGACGAAGATGGAGTGGCGCCAAATGTCGCGGATGCGATTCTCGGGGAGTACCGACTGAATGACAAGTAAATCAAGCATATAATTGGAATTCAATTCGCACAGTGGCACAGATACACGGCATTAGAATTCCGCTTGCAGGTCCGGCCGTTGTACGCTACCTGTTTCGCTGTACACGCACACGCGTGTGCACGTGCACGTGCACGCGCACCTGCAAACGCGTCAATTACAAGGGAGCTGCAGGCGATCCGTCTTCGGACGTTTCACGGGCCGAGGACAGTTCCACGATACGTGAATCGCTCAACTATATCGCTCCGCTTCGGTAAGAAGCGAAAACGGTAAGAATGCGCTAACGAACGCGCGGAATCGGCCAACGCGGCAATGTAGGAATGCAACTAGTGATCAGAAATTATTACGAGCTCGGGCTGATATATCGACTGGCGCATTTGAACCGAACGGACAGCAGCGGCAGTGTTCTGCTTTCCAGCCGCGTGTCTGCCCGAACCTCGCCTAGGAACAATCATGTTCGAACAGGAATCGGATGTCACGCGTTAATAACCACGTACACGTTTTGTCGATTCAAAGAAGTGGAATTGTTCCGGAGAATGATGAAAAGTGCGCAGCGATCGCTGGAATGGCGCGATAGCAGGATGTCATTAGTTGTGGGAGTTCCGTTCAAGGAAGAGGCAGAGTCAAAAGCAAAGGCAAAGGCAGAGGAAAGCAGAGGCGGAGGCAGAGGTAGCAGCAGCAGCAGGGGGTGTACGGGGCTAGAACCTAGAAGGTTAACAAAATCAATACCCCGGGTGGGTGGCAGAGCTGGTGGTGTCGGCCTGCTGGGGGGCTAGGTCGGTCACTGACCTTTATCCAGGCCAACTGCATCATCCCCATTTCTACGCGCGCAGGCACGCACGCACACACAGAGGGAGGTCGTCTATTTTCACGCGACGAGCCATTTTTGCCGGATGAAAACAATCCGACCGTACGTTTGTAGAACCTGCTACCGTACTGCCAAATGTTCGACGAAACACTCGATCTCGATCTTTTGCGTTCAGAGACACGGCGATCGCCAGCGATTCCAAGAACGATCGACGTTGTTCTCGATTTCCGTTTCGTATGATCGTGTTCGAGAAACATCCGTGAACGTTTCTGATCCGGGGAAGCAAGTTGCCGCGACTCTCAAACGAGGTCCGTGGAAACTTGACGAATATTTGAATGAGACGGAACAGAACTGAGGTGACCCAAATTTAAGATATGGTCAGAAAAATTCTTTCTCCGTCCGCGTACAGACGCTACATCTTAACCGGCAAACTCGATTCCATTCGATTTTCCCAAATAATCGTTCGTAGGCGCAATTTTTTTCTGAAATCGATTGAAACAAGCGAACTTTGATAAATTTACAGTACGACTCGTGCGTACGATATTCGTGGGAAGAAACAGTCGCGGAAACGGAGTTCGTTTCAAGTCCGATGAAGCCATTGGTGAAATAGTGGACGTCGTTCATTCGCCAGAACTAAACGTTCGTGTTGGACGAATGATTGTATTTCGAGAACCAGTCGCCGAAGCGAACCGTTCCGCGATAGAGAGTTTGAAATATGAAAGTTCGTTAACGCAACACGATACAACGGGACGGAACGAAAGGAAATAGTCGGTTAAAACGAAAGACGACGCATTAGCATTTTTTGCTGTCACGAATTAGCATGCTACACACCGGTGACCAGCGATGCTGGTAATTTAGGCCAATGATCGACGATGATGGCGGTCGTCCTTGTTCTCGCAATGTTGTCCTGTCGACGACTGAACCGTCCACGTGACACGCTTTTTTCTAGGATGTGGGACGAACTATTTGCGCACACTCCTAATCCACTATTCTTTCTGTCTCTCGTTTTCTCCTTGTGTGCGCACGAACGTGTGTTTTATTTAGAAATCCTCGCGTGCGAGAAACCTGAATAGAAACGGCTTCATTGACAAATTTTGCGCGCGGATGCGGCGCGGCGAGAGTGAAGAGGGAACAGTCGCGACTCGCGTGGATCATCGGATCCGCGTAAACTATCGGCGCAATCTTCGAATGCTAATAATGATGTAACCGAACGCGATCCTGCATACCGATTCGGTTCACGAGCGATCGATGCAACCAACAATACGGGTTTAGAAATGTCCAGAGTCCAGCGAGTACGAAACAACGTCCAGGTTTCGATCGCGATTTTCAGGCGATGCGCATAGAACGCGTGCTTAAATCCGCGCGAATAACGATACTCGTACTCGATTACCATGGACGGACCCCCGGCGAAACGTGGTACGTAGAATCGAAAAGAATTAAATAGCGCAGGGAGTTCGAAATTGCGTTTGATGCTCGATTACCAGCGGGGTTCAGTGAACGGGACATCGCTCTACAATAACGATAAGGGCCCTACATATGCACCGCGAGATCGCGTCTGCTAATAGAGTAGGGTGACGCAGAGACTCTTGTTCCTTCGTTCGACGATGGAACAAATGAAAAGACATGACCAAGATGATCAAGATGAAGACAAATGGTTCGTGGTACTAGACTCCGATCTCCTAAAAGTAACGCGAGTCGAATCAACGGAACGAATCGAATCGTCTCGGAGTGGCAACAGTCGATAACATGGTAAATTCATAAGAATCGACACACGAGCGACGAGCGACGACCGACGACCGACGAACCACGAGTAACGATCGACGATCGACGACCTCGTTCCGCTTATAATGCGACCGCGACAGTACCTTACAAATCCGCGACACCGAGATCGCAGATCGTTTCTCTTCTCCTCGTATCGATAATTAATCTTAATTTTCAGCCAGACTCGACTTCTTTTTCCATCGTTGCGAGCACGCTTTATATTCCCCTCGAATTCTTCGTCGGCGAACTTGGCGGATTGAAGGTTGAACAACTGTAAAAATTAGATCCGAAAAACTCTGAACGATGAAAATGTACGACAAACAACGATCGATTCCTACGATTCGGATAGGAATGCTCGCACGGAAGATCCGCCGGTATTTCACGCGGTCGTTTGGCTGGTCAGTCGCCGGCCTACGCGGAATCACCGATTAGCCAATTCCAGTCGATGCAAATGACGCGCGATCGTACGATCGCCACTTCCGACGTATTATGTAGATGTTCGAGGGGCGAACGGAAATTTCGGCGTAGAAAGCTGGTCGCGTAGCGTTGGCGTCCGCTCCGCGAGCTGACGCGGCCTCGCCCCCCGGCCATTTTGCGTTTCAAATTTTCCCCGCTGTGATTCACTTCACGCGAGTAGAACGGATCCAGAAGTGATGCCGGTGCTTCGTGGAATCCTTGAATTTTTACAAGCGCCGCCTCGATGAGCGCGAACTTCCGTCAACCGACAGATCGATCGAAACGTGAACCGCATTTCACCAAAGATCATGCAACGTAGACTTACGTAGACTCTGTTAACGTTGTTCAAATTCTTTTCATGAGATGCAGCGGAGCATCACGAGCGATTGTTCAGCAAGAAAAACGAAGAAAGATCAGAAATGACATTAACGACGGTATTCGAATCTTCTAGCGAAGACAAAACCGTTAATGGCCAATGAACGGTTTTTCTCGCGATTCCTTACCACGGGATAACGACCCGTCTTTTCCCCCGTTGACGAACTAGTTGCACTTTCATCGCCTCGCACCGCGAGTACCACACTGTCGAACTGTCGCGGCCAAAGCGTCGAATCTCTGAGATCCTCGAATCGCGTTTAAAGCAATAGCAATAGACGCAAGTTCAATCGGTGTCGATATCCCTGAAAAATGGCTTTCACGTGTTCGTTAGCCGAGAGAGAAACGATCGCACGCGGTCGAAAGAGAAACCCCTAGCCCGTTTAACGCGCGTTCATCGTTTAATTACGCAAAGAAATAATTAAGTTATTTTCCGCATGCAACCGGCCGAACCGCTAATTAGGCATAACAGCACGCAATGCAAACACGACTGCGTCGCGCGTGTAGGCCTGTCCCGCGGCCACACTTATTCACCGCGAGTATGTCTCTTTCTTTGTGTGATTTCGACGTCGTTCCGCGAAGGATATTCGCACATCCTTACATCTCTTAACGAAGTACAGTATTTCCCGCGAATATATTCGCGTCAACGAGAGACAGATTGTTTGAACGACCGGTATCCGTCTCGTTGATCGTCAAACGATATTGCTATGTATTTACATCCAACGGAAGAAGTGATTCGTACAAAGTAGCAGGAGATGGAAAGTCGAGACTCACCGCATTGCTAATCTCCAACGAGGAGTGAACACATCACCTATAATTAAAGAGAGAGGAACGAGTATAGTAAACGGCAATTAAAATTTTTCAAAGAGAAATCGAAATCGGACTGCTGCTCCTCCTCTTCGCTTCAAGAACGAAAACGAGGAGAAGAAGAAGGAGAAGAACCAAAACGAAATCTGCTCGCAGCGTTCGTAAAGAGAACCAGCTGAAAAGCCGGTATGTAATACCACGACATATTTATCCAGACAGCGGACAAACATACTCGCTCAAGTATACCCTGTACCTATTCACTTTCGTCGACTTCCGGAGACAAACGAGAGACACGTCGCTTACAAGAGATGTCGCAACACCGAGCTCACCGATTTCAATCAAAGTTTTCACGGTCGTGCCTACAGCAAAAACAAGAATACGCGTGCTCGGACATTTCTGCGAATCTACATAGCTTTTCCCCTCCCCCGTCCGGTATTTCACCGAGTAACTGCCAAAAATCCTTCCACTTCGAATCCGGCGGTCTTTTTCTGAATACCTCGGGAACTAAAAGAGTCAGAGATTTTTGTGAGAGGGAAAATTTCCTCGAAATATCGATTGCTAGGATATATTTCAAAGTCATCGGAATCGGTAAGTCAGTCCTACCAGTTCACCGACACCATGCGTGCCTCTGGTAAGTATACACCTATATATCTACACACATATGTACATGATTGTATACGTAGCGCGCGTACACGCACACTTACTCACTTCGATGCAAATCGGCAAGCGAACGAGCTGTGACAACACGACGATCGTAGCATCCCCTCGCACCGCGTTGTACTCGATCCACCTCTTTCCGTTCATTCATTCCTCCTCCTCGTCCTCCTCCTCCTCCGCCTCCATCCACGCGGCTTCGTTGTTTGTCCCGCGGCTGACGTTCGGTGTCCGCATCATTAGCAAACGACACATCATAGTTAACAGCAATAATATTCTAGCCAACGTTCCGTGCAACGTTTGGGCCGAATAAAGTAGGATATCACTATCGACGCAACGGCGAACCGGAACAACTGAAACGGAAGAACATCTCACCCACGTGACGGTCCTCCGTGCAATCGACGCCATTCGCGGCTTGTTTACGTCGCGAGAATCACGACACGACACACGACACACCAGATACGGTTAACATAGCATCGATTGTCGAAACATCGATCAACGATTGTTTCAGCGTCAACTAACGAGACCTTCGAATACTTGAACGATATTAACGAATAAAAATACGGTTCCCTCCTTTTATTATTTTACAATTATAATTCGGATTCTGTTACTTCAATCGATAATGATATTATTGATAATTATATTTCATTCGATAGGTATAATTGAGAAGTATGCACGCGTAATATCGCGGTTAGTGTGGATAATTGAAATTCTACCGTGTTCGTTGAAACATACCCGTCGCAGATCCAGCAACGTGTACAGGCTGTGACGTTAGTTTTCATGGGTTGAAATAAGATGGCTTTTCTCTCACTGCGTGTTTTCATTATCGAAACAGTTTCTTTTTTCGCAGGAACGATACGATGAACGTACGATTTGATTGTTAACGGAATTAGATATCCCAGGGTTTCAAGGATCACATGTTCGAACACCGAGCACGTGTGACTAAGCGCGTACCGGATTATCGAAGTTGTTTTCACCCGCGAGAATAAACGAAAGAAAAATAGTCTCGTGGGTGTACCGTAAGATCGCGCTACTCTTCGAGTCTGGAACGGCTAGGCGGCGTGACGTGAACGTGGGATATGGTGAACAAACTTATTAATAGGACAATAGCAACAACGATGAACAACAAGGGACACCCGTACGCAAAATCCTCTACGTTACGGTAAAAGCTGGCGTACACTGCACGCGGTACTCGTAAAACATTTTCAAGGACGTCCGCGAACGTCTCACCGGCGACTTCACCGCTGCCGCAACAATCGAACGACATCTGATCGTTTTTTCGAGATCGTGGTAACGTTTACGTTTCGACTACGCGTTATTTAACACATCGAAATAAATGGATGAACGATAAGCACCAATAAGAACGCGTACGTTTTACATAAAACGGGGTTTAGCGCGCTGCAACACGATTAAATGGGCTGGCTAAGCGAGTTTTCGCTTTCGACTGAAATCGAGTGTTCCTCTGACTAGCCGGCTGTCGGTGTACTTGTGTGCAGTACTGTGTGTAGCGTCGCGCACGCGTGTATCACTGTGTGCGAGGACACTGCACGGACACCGACACGCGCATTTCCACCAGCATCCAGTATCGAGTGTCGAGTGTCTTGACAAGTAAACTGTAGCCTGTAGGCTTCGCGTTACAAAACACCTAGTAACGACGAGAGTCGACCGATTGTATTACCCGTACGACACGCGCGCGAATCATGCTCAACGACGATTAACGTATCTTTTTCTCCTTTACCTTCACGAACATTGTGTCTCCGTTTTACAGAAATTAAGTTTCCTCGACACTTTAGGCAACTTTTAATTTTCTAGTATTTTAAAGGACGCAACATAATGTTCGTGAAATCAGTAATTTGTCATAACCTTCCAACCAATTGTATAAATTTTATTAATTGAACATAATATTTCTGCAGAATTCTAAGTTGTATGGATTTCTTGGCAGAAAATGAAAACTGATTATATCTTATGCAAGACAGAAGTGAAAAATAAGATATTGCAAATCTTTACATTTTGTTGTTACATGTTATAAACATCAGATCCGTAATTTAAAAAATTGCATAACTTTACTGGTTTATATATACATACATACTTCACATTTCTTATTTATACATATAAAACATGATACAGGTTCTAATTTTTAAAACTTTCTTAATATAATACTTATATTTAACTTATCATGAAAGACTTATTTAATTACTTCTTTTCCTCATTTAGATTGTACTTTGTCTTTAATTTGTCTATTTCTTCCATCTTCTTGTCCACGTCGACTCGTTTGAATGCCTTATTGCTTTGATAATATAAAACCACCAAATATCGATTACAAACATTGAAGCCACTTAAATGATCACACGCATTCTTTGCATCAAATATATCTTCGTAAACAACAAAAGCAGTTCCTCTTGTTTCAGCAGTATTACCTCTGAAATAAAACCCTTTTAATGTAATTGTAGTCCTTAACCTATAAGTTAGAGAAATAAAAGTATTTACACTCTAATTTGTCGAATGGCTCCATATTTGCCGAAAATATCATACATTTCTTCAGCCGTAATTTTATACGGCAAATTTCGTATATACAACACCCTATTTACTTCGGGAGGTAATCTTACCTAAGAAAAAAACATTGAGAATAGTAAACAGATTAGGTTAGGTACGTTGGTAGTAATTGAAAACAGGGGTAACATTAAATATTAACATGTGTACTCACGTTAGCTCTTCGTTGCAACATAGCCATAGTCATGTTTATAAAATAATATCTTTTTGTTGTCTAATGAAGAAAACGAAAATTCAAAGTTTACTTTCCTTGTCAACTATAACCAAATCCGTATTATATCAAACAACTGTCTTCACTCTACAGCCACAAAGTTGAATTCCGTACAATTTTCTCCCCAGAGAGCAGCACTATCCTAATCAATTTCATTTCGTTACATATACAATGTCTTATTACTTCTGTATTAAATATATAATTCCCATTATTTCGTTATGATTAATTCGTTGCGGACGGCGTAACGTATAAAAGCTATTTTTAAGGGAAAAATATGACTACACAAATTACATTCATAATTTTTATTTGTGACAACAGTACTCCGAAACAAACAATTAAACATGGTACTAATAATTAGCGTTTACTCGCAATATCATTACTTTCCTAAATTATAATTTTGGATATCATGACTGAGTTGAGTATTTAATTAGTCGAGCTCTTCACACTTTCACGTGAATAGTATAATTTTAAACATTTACAGATTATAATATTTTATGTTGATGTTACGATCGCGCAGGTTAAAAATTCTATGGATTAGAATTCTTAAGAATTATTTCATAAATTGACACGTCAAATATTCAAATTGGATCACGACAGTTAAACCTTTGATATTTTCTGGGTATTCATATTTCATATATATAAGACATATGTATCAATGATTTCTTCATCAAAGTAGATATTGCTAGTGGAATGAAAAGATGGCACAACAGACCAATGCTTGATTGCAATTAGAACCGTCAGATACCTTCTACGAAAAATGTTTCGTTAATTTTTTTATACTTTATTAAAAGCTGCAATGTCTACGCTTTGAACATGTTCTTCAATTTGTTGAATCTCTTCTGTGAGCCAATCCACCGAAACTTTTTCATCTTCCACGACGCAGGAAATTTGAAGTTTGTGAATACCAAAAGCCAAGGGAACAAGTTTTGCTATAGAAAAACAATTACTTGAATCCTTATTTTACATTAGAAACTAACTTTTTTTAAGTAAACAACCTACCAGCTCCCCATAAAAGACCGTCGGTCTCAATCTTTCGTACTTCAGTTTCCATTGCCTTCATGTCTGTCTCGTTGCCCCACGGTTTCACGTCCAATATAATATTCGATTTCGCGATCAACGCTGGTTCTGTAAATTAATACCATATAGATGTAAAGTAAAGTACTTAAAATATGAACTTAACAGGCATACCACGTACTTTTGGATTTCTTTGCAGCGTATGCAGCCAATCTTTCTTCCCTAATTCTTGCAGCTTCAGCATCCTCTCCCTAACAAGTCAAGTATTTAAACGGTTTACAGTACAAACTACACGTAACAGCTTAAACTTCACTAATTGTATAATAGTGTCTGTGTCAAGTTCATGTAATAAATAAAAAATATATTTGAATGCACTGGTATTCTGGGAATATCTGGTGTACTACGTCTGATATATATCGTACAAAGTTAAGCATTTTTGCATCCTATTTGAGAAAACGTGTGAAGTGTATTAAATGTATCGTGCAAGAATGATTTGAAATATTCTGTAAGAAGGAAAATAACTGGCTAGTGTCTTTTGCACTGTTTCTGCCCACTTGCCTCTGAGTCTGAACCAAATAGATCGACATCCTCGTCATCATCAGCTTTTTCTTGTGTTTCTTTTGGAGCTGGGTCAGACTTTTCTTTTAGAATTTGATTAACCTTGTCTTCAAGGTCTTTGACACGATTCTCCAATTTATGAATGAAACTACTTAATTCTTCCACGGCTGTTGAAAACATTATTTAATATAGAGTATAATGTAATTTTATTTAAGCAGTACAAAATATTCACCTTGATCTAAATTATCCTTTTTATTATCATGTGGAGTTGTAAGTCCCGCGACAGCTGCAATATCATCCATCTATAAAATAATAATAGTATATAAACACTACAAATAAACATGATAAATTGGCATTAATGTTGAACATTATATTAGTAACTAAATTTAAGAATTTATTACGTAATAAATATTACTTATACCTTGTAAAAGATGTGGTACTCACACATTGTAAAGATTGTTTAATATGTTGACGAGCCTTGGCAACCTCATTGGCTAAACTTCCACCAGTGGATAAGACTGGACTAGTAGCTTGTTGATTTCCCTGTGTCCATCAATATTAAAGATCAACTAAAGCCAAACTGAATATTACAAACATTCTAATATCATACCTCCACTAGGATGTATATTTAATATTAAATTTGAACTATGTGAAATATCTTTTACCATGTGTTTAATGCATTTCAAAATATCATATATTCCATAAATTACATTCAATCATTATAGACACTTTAGTAAAACCAAGTGGAGCTAGATAGTTTATATCAACATTCAAAACATGATAGGCATAGCACATGTATTTTTATAGCATACTAACAAGTGCTTGTCCATGTTCACTACAAAAATGTGATGCAATTATAGATTTATTATCACTAGATGTGAATTAGTTATTAATAATCTTCAATCCTAAATGAAATATATTGCTTATAATGAATAAACATGCATAGCATTTTTTTTTGTACAGAGGAATGTCATGCAAAGTGCTATATTATAAAAGAATAATTATGTACACGATACTTTTGTTTGTCTGAGAATCAAAGTAATAGTACACTGTGTAGAGGTACTTAATCGTGTGGGGTTCACCATGTGTTAACAGTGCATAATACAGAAGAATGTTTAATGAATATTTTAAATACGATAAGCAGATTTCTATAAAAACCTAAGCAAGAAAATGCAGAATATAATGTACAAAATAAAAATTTATAAATATTGCACATGGATGCACACAAAATATTAAATATCATGTAAGTTACAACATATACCTGATTAGGTAATTGCTGTTCATTCCAGATTAGCGATGTACTATTTTCTTTTATTTCCATAGTATCATTTTTTCCTTTTCCTCTATTTCTATGTCGTGTATCTGCTTTGTTCTTTTTTTCTTTTACTTCTGCTGTATTATATTTTGTAGACATATCGTTCAAAGAATTGACTTCCTTCTTTTTCTTGTTATTCTTTACATTATCAGTCTTTTGTTTTTCTTCTATATTTTCATTCTTTTGTATGTTGCATTCATTTTCATCTTTATTCGATTTTGCAACTTTTGTTTTAAGATTCTTAAGAGTATCATTTGGAATGTTTTCAGAAATCAGTAATTTATTATCTTTAGTTTTTTCAGGTTTTGTTTTTGGCAAAGAAGAATTACAATTCAAAATAGCGTGATAGTCATTAGTCACAGAAATCTCAGACTTTTCAGACTTTTCAAATTTTTCAGACTTTTCAGACTTTTCGAATTTTTCAGGCTTTTCGGGTTTTTCAGACTTTTCAGACTTGTAGGTGCATCTTTCCATTATATTATGAGATACAACCTTGAAACATGTTTCAAACTATGCAAGTAGGAGTTTTCATTTTGCAGTTAATATAAGTAAAATACAAACTAAACAAAGCATGTTTCTGTTACATGCTAAATACATTTTTTTATAATTATTACAAAATCAACTGCATAAAAACCAAATAATTTTAGTACTGGTTTCATGCAATCCCTAAATTCATTGAATATATTATCATATAAAATTATATGTTGTATGAAACTTTAAATGTAAGTGACTTAACAAAAAGTTTCACTGCAAATTATACAGTTATATTATATTTATGCGGTGTATTTACCATTAAAAGATGTATCAAAAAAGACATAAGAATATGTGGGTTTCATAAAGTTGTAACACTAAAGGGAATGAAGTTTTTATGAGAAAAATAAAATTCCCAACACCTTAAGAAGTAAGAAGCAGGTAAAGTGTTTCCTATCACCAGATATTCCCTGAGGTATATGTTAGAAGTGTTAGTTTCAGTTAGTACAAAAGAAAAGAAACACATGGCAAACTGAAAAAACATAAATCAGCTGTAGATGTTGGGGCTCAAGTTTGAAGTTTTTGTGTTTGTAAACATACTTTGAAATATAATTATTTTAAAGAAGTTATTATGTAATTGTTATTATTATAAAAATCTAGTACTTCTTGCAGTCAATGTATCGTATGTTTAAAAACATCTTCCTACCCCTGTTAATGATTACCTTTGTAATCAAATGATATTAATCTGTAAATCAGACCACAACACTTACCTTAGCCATTTTTTCAAAATATAGTCGTTCTGCTTTGTCATATGATGGCTTGTCGAACCATACCTTCTCTTGTGCTAATGCTGATTTTTCCATTTTTAAACTGTATTGTTTAGCAAGGATGCAAGTAAATTTCTGTAACATGAAATTTAACTTTGTAAGCATGAAAAATAAAATTGTTAGAAATATTCAAATTGTTTGTATTTATTATAAATACAAATTTTTCACTAGTACAAATATGTATACTTATATATATAGAATATACAAAAATTATATACAATAATTAATGTAGTAATAATATAATCTGTTATATATCTCTTCCATTCCGTTCACAATCAGTAATCAATTATTTCTAAAATAAATATTAATTATTGTTAAAGACTATCCTCATCATTGCTAAAATATTTAGACTTGAATGGCGGCTTACTTAATACTTTATAATTAGGTAGTTCTAATTTATATGTTTTTTCCACCGATAATGGCTTTGATTTCTTTGTAATTTCATTTAATAAATCATAAATTTCTTTTTCATTTGCAGAGCTAATTACACATGGATATATATCTACTGCTTTAAAATATTCAAGAAATGCTGCAAGTTCACTGCAAGAAGGATGAGTAGAATAACATATATTAAACGTTCTTTCCTTAACTTCATCCCATGCTCCTATGATACTTGTATCCTTTCTTCTCCATTTCATTACAGATGGAATTATTGTCAAGATATTTGTATCATTTACATCAGTTCTACAGTATAAGCCTGATGAAGATATTTTTCTCTTACAAGCATGAATTGGAGTACTATACGCATCATTTGTAATATAATTACATAATTCCCCTATTCGACAATAACTATCATACACAAATTCTTTTACATGAATTTTTATATTTAAAAGTTTAGAAAGTTCTACAAAAAGAAATTCAGAACCATATGTAGCAGAACATTCCAGAATAACAACATTCCTTGGGTGTTTTCTTAACCAATCTTTAACAACATGCTCCATTTTAATCATACTTTCCTTTCTAGTAGGAAAAGAAGGAAAATTGTTACTTAAAAAAGTTGTATCTAAGTAGATTGTAGTGAATGTTCTAGGTAATTTTGTACCATAATGTAGACTTTTTAGGTTTGGAAAATCAATGGGATTAATACGAAAATCACCAGTGTATAACACTGAAATATTATTCCTTTCAAAAAGAAACATTACAGACCCAGGACAATGTCCTGCTGAAATACATGTTACAGTAATGAGGATTTTATCTTCATTCTGTAGTTTATATTCAACAACAGTAGGTATATTGGTGCCTATTTCTTTGATACAAGAATTCTTTAAATTAAATTTATTTTTTAATAATGCCTTTGTAATAAGACTGCAATAAAGATATTTATTACATGTATCTAAATTCATAAAAAATTCATTTGATAAACCATGCATATGATCGGAATGGCAATGAGTGAGAAAGAACACGGAAGATGTTAAGTTTTCTCCATCAAAACGATCCACTGAGATTCCAGGTATCTCCTTAATAAGCCCAAGAAAAGTTGACATTCTGGTACATGTGTTGTGTCCCTGTAATTTATAAATCCAGTTGCAACTACTCCAATATTTTCGATGGAAAAAGCTATTGCATTTACTTTGTATGAATCAAACTGAATGACTTATAAATGAAAAACAGATGTTTGCAAATTCGCAGAATAAAGATTGCATTTTGTAGGTTATAATTGTAAATTAGACATACATTATATTAACGAAAAAAAGCTTTTTTAAAAGAATGTGGTTTATTAATCAATGATCAAACAATTTGCTCAGTTTTACACGACAATCAGTAAATTTTATAGTGGATCTTCAATCCTACGAATTCACCATGTGCCGTATTGATCGACTAATTCAGTGGTTATATGGAGAATTAATTAGATCTTTATCGTTATTGCATACCAATTAGTTGTATGAGATGATTACAAACCAGTTGAATACTATTAAATATACCTTCACTCGTCACAAATTGTCAGATTGATGCAACAATTGTATGCTGGCCAAAATTTCAGTAAGCCGGATATAACGTGCCAATTGAAGAGAAATAGACACAATGCTGTACGAACAATGCTACAAGATGTCACTAGGGTTTTCGGTCACAACTAACAAATTCAATACAAATTTTCTTGTTTTTCATTTATTTGAAATTAATTTTTTATTTTACTAATAAAACACTGCATTAAAAAATTAATCATTTTTTTATACTCATAATATTTGTTGTTGGTTAAAAATATATAAGTTCGTAGATTAAGAACAGTAAATAGCCGTATTGATTTCGTAATGTCAGTGATAACAATTATGTTTAGGATATTGGAAGTAATATAATTTTTGTATGCAGTAAATATTATATAAGTAAGAAGAATTTCTTAATTGTTTTTTTGGGGTGATTACTAAAGTATTTTTTATAAGATATATTTATTATTTTCACTAAGTATGTATTGTCAATATTGAATCTATTTTGGAAAACTTAAAGAGTAGACCTTGTTCTTATTTAATATTAAACTTTTACAATCTTATCACCTGCCTTCTTGAACAAAAGATGACCATGACTCGAAGATATGTATAAGATTATACACAACAAAAGAAATATAACAATAACAGACAGTTACATAAACAACGTTATAAAATCATATCATATGTCAATTAATAATTTTGCAGAATATCTGTCCTACAAGAAACATACAATTCAAAAATTGGCGGCAAGTGGTACTCAAAAATACGTTGATGCTCAAGAAGTAGTTTATATTCGTTATAGTAGAAATCAGATATTAAGCAAAATGACCGCTCAAGGATCACCGGCTAAAATGAAAGAATTACGTTTACCTATGTCAAGAGTGAAAACAATTATGAAGAGCTCTCCTTACGTTGATACCATTGGACAGGATGGATTGTATTTAGTCACAAAAGCTACGGTAAATTGAAATCAGAAAATTGAGGTTAAGCGTATACTTTTAATTCTAAACGTAACTATTTTTATAAAACGACTATCATGTACACATAGTGTTTAACTATATCATTTTGACTAGATTATCAGAATACTTTTTCATATATTAAAAATGAAAAAATAATTTTGTAAGAATATATTTTTTTTAGGAACTATTTATACATTATTTAACAGAAGAAGCACATTTACAAAATAATAAAGGAAATTCTCTGGATTACAAACATTTGGCAGAAGTGGTACAAACAAATGACACATTGGAGTTCTTAAGGGAAATAATGCCTAGAAAAATAACGGTTAGACAATTTAAAGAAATGATGGCTGCTAAAAATTCTCACAGCAGTTCAGAAAGTAGTTCAGATTCAGACAGTGACAGTGAATCAGACACAGATTCCTGTACTGATAGTGATGATAGGAAAGCAGATGACAATCTATCGAATAGTGACCATGGAAGTGAAACAAAGGAAAATGGTAAATGTGATTCGGTCAGTGATAAAAGCGAAATTAGTGGAAAAAGTGACAGTGAAGACGAAAGTAAAAGATAAGAACACAGGCATTTATTTTCATAAATTTTCTTGCAAAACAGATATTCTGATCCATTTCAGAATAATTTGAACTTGATAGGGAATAATACAATTACGCACATATTTGATAGTTTAAAATAATAATTTTAAAAATTAATTAATATTATTGTATGAATTCATTCATATTTAGTCTTATATTAGGAACAGCATCTTCATTCACATTAGAATTTTTTGTTCATAGAACTGCATACTTTATAGATACAATATAGATAGATTTTAAGATTTTATACAAAAAAGGGATTTATTTATCTTTTCCACTGTAGCAACATTAGCAACCCTTTACAACTTTAATCAAATTTTAAAATAAATACATTAATTTTTATAATAATTATTTCCTTTTAGTTATATCATTATTTATTTGGCCAACCGATACATTGGCATGTTACAAATTATTTGCCTGCATTTTAACACTATTTATAGAAATTACAAGTTTTAAAAGAATATAACACTGTTATAGTAAGAATTTGTAAAATTTTATTCTTGATGTAACTTTTTAGACACTGATGGTACTGAATTACATCCATCCTCGTTCAATTTAATGGCTAAAAAGTAGATTTCAGCCAGAGCTATGATTAATGCACAAATTATGCCTAATAGCAATCTAAATCCGAAGTCTAAATTCCCAACTATTAATTCTACACCAATAAATCCAAAGGCAAAGCCTGCCAATACAGAAAATATAAACTGTGCCACAGCTATAAGTTGCTTATTTATTTGCTTCACTGAAAATAAAACAAGATATTATTATATTATTATAAATTATTATCATAATTTAGATAAGATTAACATCATAATTTAAACATCTTACTTTGGTAAGAGATACTATCCTCTGGGAAATTCCTTCTAACTGAGTCAACACTTTTGGTCATAGCTTCATATTCTCTAGCATCCTGTTGTGCCTTCAGTTTCTTTATTCTAGCTTCCAATTCAGGATTTCTCGGTGTAACCTTTGGTATTGGTAATTTTATATTTGTTTCTTCTAAGAGTTCATGTAAATAAACATTCTCCTTTTTTATTTTCCTGTATTCCTCTAAATATTTATTCAGCCATCTTATATCTTCTAAGTTTAAAGAAATGTGCTTTTCTTTATCTTTATGCGTCTTTTTTAAAGCAACAATTGCAGATGGAACATCGCTTGTTTTCTTCACATTTTTTATAATAAATTCTATTAATTTTTTGCTTGGTATTATTCTTATAGAAGGGTCTTCAATTGATTCAACTGGCATTCTTATATTTTTTAAATAGAAGTATCCAATTATTAGCAAAATAACATTGCCTTTGAAGTTTTATAGATTATATAAAGAAGTAATATTATTTCGTATTATATGTTGCTATACCAAATTAAAAAAATATATAACATAATAATGTAACAAGGAAATAATTTATGTTATATGTAGTTTTTTTTCCAGATCAGTATAAAATTCTTTTATTTCATCTTCTTTTTCTTCAAAAGTTTGATTTACTTTCTCACATTTTTCACTCATATCATTGACAAACTTTTCCCATTCTAATTTTCTTATTTTTCTATTCTCTTCTAATGCTTTGTCCTAACAAATTATTAAATGAATATATTAATTACGAGTGTAGAATTATCTTAATACATGTAATGTTACAATAAAAAATGATTAAGAAATTAAGTACAATATCAAAATTTTGTTCCCTTTGAAGAACTCTTTCACACATGCTCAGAGCTACATCAACATTTGCTTTTAAACTGGGTAAATGACAATCGCCTAGTTGTTCTGTACGGTCCAATTGATTTTCCTTCAATTCAGTTGAATATTCAAGTATTTTAAAAAGACGTTCCACTTCTCTGTCATTTCTTTTTTCCTATAAACATTCAGAAATATGGAAATAATACAATCAAAGGACAAAAAACAAGTACGTTTTAAATTCCAAAGTACTTTCATTTGTTGACGACAGGTACTTTATAGGTTACATATAATGAGATAATATCGCTCGACTGACGCGTACGTACTTATATTCGTGATGATCAATTAGTACAGTGAAATAGTAACAATTTTTGTCTATTTAACTTTCCCTGTTTATTAAGTATTGTTATGGATTCAAGTATTCTTTACCTGAAACTCGCGCAGGAAGAATGTGATTTCACCTTGAATGAATGGTCGATGATCAAATAGTCGACTCCAAATTTCACCAGTGTCTACGAAAACGTTACATCGCGAATAACATTATGATAATTAATTGTGATAATAAAACGTATATTCGAAAAATTACGTGTTTATAGTCAATCCACACATGCCGCACCTTTGATAATGGACGCCATGATCCGTTGTGAAATAGATTGTTACCTATACTATATTTTGCATAATATTGACGCAGATTTAGGATATTTAGGTAAAGTACTTATTTACTCATGTATCGTGTACGGGATTTTTTATATGGATGTGGGATTCTATAGATGCTTGTATCATTTCAACTTTATGTTTAATATTATCGATAATTTGTAAATTCAGATTTATTAATAGGAATTCATTTTATTAATCAGAATTTTAATATTACTATTATTAGGATTTCGATATAAGTGTTAAATAAATAAATGATCAAAGATTATTGAAAGATAAATATTTTAAAAATCTGGAATTATCGGTAATGTCAAGTGCGATACCATAGATTTAAGACACAGTATCTACTGTTATGGGAATTTTTGTCTAGTGCAAGGTATCTAACTCCATAGTAACTTCTCACGGAGAGTTATCCTCTCCATACCTGACTATAGTAGGAATCGAATTAGCTATATATTCCATTTCTGCTACGTGTGTGTTATATGATTTGGCGGCAGCAAATGTTTATAAGGCGCGTACATTTAAATGATGTAAGTCAGAAGCCTAGACAAACATTTTCATAATATATAATGTCTGTACGGTTATTATGTTTATAGATATAATTCTTAAACTCACTACTCTAATTCGTAGACTTTTTTTATTTACGCGATCGGTATTTCAGACCATCTGGCACCAGGTTCCTATGTTCATGTTCCTCGTCGTATCCTTCGTCGGTGTAGAAAGCCCCAATGGATAAGACATTTGTACGAATTTTTCAATTTGTGATATTGATATTGCTTCTGTATAACGCGGTTGATACAAAAATTGTTTCTTTGTCAAATATCGTTTTATATTTTATAATATAATTTATTATAGCATTGCTAACTATTGGCATAATTGTATAGGATTGAGAGGTCTGTCATTATTTAATTTTAATTAGAAGATGTAAACATATAAGTACTACCATCAGTTTGAGACACCCTGTACAGTAATGTATTTCGTACATCGTACAACAGAGAGCAGTAATAAGTAAGTTTAATATTTGCAAATGGCCGCTTTATCAAAAAACAATACACATTTTGATCGCGGTAAAAAAAAGTGTTATATTCTCTCTTCTGTTGTGTAAATTTGACAGTTTACTAAATACAGGTGTGAGAAATTAGTGGTATGCTGTCTCTAGACAGTAATGAAACTCATCAGGATGAGGTGTGTAAATTCGTTAATAATCCAAAACTGTCACAAACATTGTACTTTCGTCTTTCTAGGTTACATTATAATATATATCATTTTTATCTGTAAAAATATATGTTTCGCCACTTGTATACTTGTTTTTCAACAAACGTAACGTAAACAATTATTTAAACATATCTTGTTGCACAATATATTTTTTACTTTCTGTTATGTGTCATAAAAGAAATATTATTTTGACATTTATAATATAAGGTATAATTTATGTACGTAATTTCCATTTACTTTATTTAATAAAACTGTCACTTGTACAGTGCAATAGTTATTTTATTATGCTTATGAATTTGTTTATCTTAGATTAAATTAAATTATACATGTTATGTAGGAAACCACTAGTGAAAATGAATCAGATGATTATCCAAGAATGCCTATCCACATGGATGAACCAAAAGAATGGACATATACGATGAGGAGGCACATGCAGGTATCTCAAATATTGTTCACAAACAAAACATACTCAAAGTTTTACATTAATTGTTATCTTACATTAGGAGGTGGTACCTAGATTATACCTTGGCCCATACAGTGCTGCTAGTCGTTCGAAATTGCAATCTTTATTAGAACATGGTATTACGCATATAGTGTGCGTTAGACAAGACATAGAAGCAAATTTTATAAAGCCCAATTTTCCCGACAAGTTCAAGTATGAAATACACAAATCTTTAGAAGAAGAAATAATGTTTATACTTTGTATCCTATATTAATATGTCATGTTGCAGGTATCTTGTTCTAAATATTGCTGACACAGCAACAGAAAATATTATTCAACATTTTCAAAAAGTTAAAACTTTTATAGATGAAGGTTTAAATTCTGGTGGTCAAGTCTTAGTACATGGCAATGCTGGAATATCTAGATCTGCTGCGTTAGTTTTAGCATATGTTATGGAGACATATGGACTATCACAAATGTAAAGTGTTATATAAAAATTGTGCACTCCATTCTCCATTGAAAGAATACTGAAACATATGATCTTTTTAGACGGGCATATGCAATGGTACAACAAAGAAGGTTTTGTATAAATCCTAATGAAGGTTTTATGACACAATTAAAAGAGTATGAACCTATATATCAAGCACAAAAAACATTAAGAAACGGTCAACAAAGTTCCATAAAGCAACGAAGTAAACGATCTATACACCAAATGGATACTGAACGAATAGAAGACAGATGCGACGAAATGGATAGTTGATATTAATTTGAAAAATATTCAAATTATCAAAAGACTTATCTTAAACTAGATAAAAGGTGATAGATTTGACGAAACAAGATATACTGTATGTCGTCATGGTCTGAAAAATACCTAAATATGCAAGTATATTGTGAAATCAGATTAAATTGCTAATATAATATATAAAAATTAAAAATTTATTACAATATGATTTTATACTAAGTACTAGCTAAACTAATTGTTTATTTAGGTAACCAAGGTATTGCTAGCTTTGAACTCTACCTACACTTTTTTACTATAGCATTGATTTATGATGATTAACAAACAGTAAACAATTTTCAAACACATGCTGTCATAAATAATAATTTTAATTTTTATTTATTCAGCATGCAAGTTGTGTACAACGTATCGCTCACTTACAAAAGAAATAAAATGAATATTTTTAAGCTTTCCTCTATTTATTTTATCAACTGCAATAAAGATTGTACAGAATTTTTGTATATCGTGTACATTAAAATAATGCAGCTTAAGAGACATAGTAAACAACATTTCTTATCACTAAGTTTTGTATTTATTTCATACAACTTTTGTAAAATACATAGTTTTCTGAAACACAATATTGCAATACATTCAATTACTGTTACCTATTTTATTCTTGCCGGAATCAGCAAACAAACTATGTCCTGATTGTTTTCATCTCTTAGCTCCCATCTTACAATAAGAGAGAGCTACAATTTTACAATTAAAACTATTAATCAGAAACTGAAAATGAACAATTTTAAGAGAAATAGTAATATTAAAATACCTTAGGATAAGATTTTAGCACTGGCAATGTGTTTGTATAGTGACATGCTGTACCCTTAGCTACTGGACAAGTGATTCCTGAATGAGCATATTCACAAGCATTTGCATTTGGTAACGGAAAACCAATGGGAACATCCATTATAACTCCATGTACAATTGCATACATATTTGTTATTTCCTTATCTGTAAAAAAAAAGAAAAACATTTTTCGCGTTTCATAGATTCTCTGTTTAAATAGAAAGTACATGTCATAGATACTAACCAACTGTAAAGTCTATTTCAATTGTTGCATTTGTATCCCGTATTAAATCGCAAGCTTGTTTAGTCATATCACATCCGCTTAAAGTTACAGATGTAAACGTCCCGACCTTCGAGCCTGTATAAAAATAACGGGAAGCTTTTAAGAGACTCGTCACCCAATTTACCGGTTAAGAATAATCCTATTAATACTAACAGGCTGAGTCAACTTTTTATACAGTATTGAAACATTAATTGTTAAATGTGTCATTTTTGTTAATAAATAAGTTTGTTGCTCTAAAATGTGATAAAATACCACAATATCAATATGCGTCATAGACCTAGTCATTACATTGCGGCCGATCATGAATCATTACATGAACGAATTGTGAACGAAACATTCTCTGAGTGGTTCGTAATTTGAATCCCTTACGTAAAACGATGCTCATATTGACATAAGAAGAAATTACTAGCAACAGCCGTGACTTTGAACTTGTTGCCGGACACAGAACAGGTCTCTGTTATTATTGAAATCATATATCACGAGTTCAATTGCGCATTATTCGACCGGTAATTGTATAGCTATCACTTTATTCGGTTGAATATAGTTTCGTGTTCGAAGAATTCACTGCGATACGATTAAAAAGTCTAATTCAAATAAATTATCGAATAATAAATAAGAAACAAATCAATTTCATTAATCATCGGTAATTCATTATTTTTCGGAAATGCCATAAATTACTTGAAAGTTTACACGCGATAATATGCTATAATAGAGCTATACTGATAAATACAGAATTAGTTTAAAAAACAGAAAACACAAATGTTAAATATCAGTAAAACGTACTATGTAAATATATGTATATATATATATATATATATCTACACTTCCGTTAATTATCACCGCGGAAGATCGTGAGGTTCAACGAATTACTCTACTTTCCGTGAGACAAACATTTACTCGAAAATTGACAGATGTATTTAATAAAATGAAATACATCGACGTCAGGAATTATGTACTCTGTGTATATACTATTTAATGGAAAAATAACTGGAAATCTGAACTTACCGCAGTCGATAACTTCGAAGGCCCGACATGTCGGGGATAGTGCGAAGCAGAAAAGCAAAAGAAGCGGAGCGATCGTTGGACGCATGTTGTTCAGTCGGACTCTGGACGGTTAATAAAACAATTACGAAGCACCCTGGCGAAATAAGCATTGGTCGTTGATCAACCACGTTTGATGTATACCATGCTATTTTTAAGTTACGTATACCCGTATTTGATTATTGTTCATTTCCGTAAAATGTGATAGGATAATGAGAGATAATACGAGATAATTTTACGTACCCAAAATATACAAGTGCGTTATGCAAAGACACCGCCAACGTGATCAACAGACACAGAACTTCTACATAGAATGTCGAATGAAGAAAAGATAAAAGCGAAATAAGACTCCAATGCGATGTTTGGAAAGTAATCTACGTGATTAAGGACAAAGAGAACAGTCAATGTAAATAACACGCGTCATCGAATCTTTTAATGTCTTATTGAATTGAATCGAATTAAGGGTTCATAATTCACAGAAAAATTTGATACGCGCAAATAGTATTACTTCTATTCTATTTTTTTTTAATATAGAATATTTACAGATATTATGTGTTACGGGACTTTTCGTTGAACAATCCGCACAACATTTTTAGCGAATGGTTAAATATTCTTGTATGGTAATTACCTTTTTTCATGCTACTTATGTGTGTCCTTTTCACCTTCAAATTAGAAGCATGTTACTTATTAAATTGTTAGCGGAAATATAATTTAATTATAACAAGAATATCTTTCGGTCTGGTTTCATTGCTTTGCCGTTTCGATTTAAATTTCCGTCCATAAGAGTTCCGTCTATATTATAGTTTTGTTTAATCGTCATTCCGATTCAGTTCCGTTGTTTCGTCGTTACAGTTCAATTTCACTATTCCAATATATCTGTTCCACTGTTTCAGCGTGTTCATTCGACTGTACCGCTTCATTTATTCCACATGTTTTGGATTGCAAATCTTTCTCCTTCGTGCGATTTTATTTCCCTTGTTCCGTTTTCATTGGTACATCTTACTTGGTTCTATTCTACACAATCCGATTTGTTTCGCTCTGTTCCGCTCACATTTCGGACTACGATTACATTTTATAATAAAGAATTATATTAAAATTTCATACTGTTATTTGGAAATTGATCATTCATAAAGCCATCGTATGCTTCCCCTTTTAATAATTACAATATTCTGTTGGTAACGTTTATGATAGACGCGAAAACAATAACAGAACATTAGCATTTCAAAAAGTCAAATATGAAAGTATATTAAATGTCAAGCTCATTCCTACATTTTATTGATAATATTATATAAAATATGTTAACAATTAAATATTTAAGATATTGAAGAAGCGAAATGATAGTATATTATCATACCGAAAATATTGAGCAATGTTAAGTGAAAGTATTTAGAAAGTCTTCTAGTTACAAATGAATGATTTTTATTTGATAATTAAAAAATAGTATCGTAAAGAATTTTATATTTATTTATATTACTTCGAATAAATTATATGACATATTATATCATGATTAAAAAATATATTTTTACATAACTGAAAGTTACTTGATATAGAGAAAGCTAGGCGCGTGGCATGTTGCTAAACACGCATGCGCGACCACGTACAATATTCAGTCGACACACAACTGCCAACAAATACTTCAGTGCCTTTTAGTAGTATTGTTAAGTGTTGTTTGTTTACTGCATTTATTGCACTATGTCGTCTGGTGGTTGGGAATTAGTTGGAAGAAATAAAAAAGATAAAACCAATGGAAAAAATAATAAACTTACAAAGGCCGAGAAAAAGAAATTTATTGAGAATGCTCCAAAAGTGGAAGACTTTCGTAAGTTATTATTTTTAACCCTGACCAAGTTTCAATATTTTTGCTAAATATTATTATTTAAATGGTTAACTACCAGAAAACAATTCCATATAAACGGAAAATTTAATACATACAGACTTCTATACATAAATATATCTCCAGGAATAGTCAATATTGAAATATATTATAGTTTAAAAATATGTTTATTTGTTTCAGTACCTTTAAGTCAAGTAAAAACTTTATACGATACTTTAGATAATAATAAAGAGAACAAGAAACCATCAAAAGAGAAAGAAAATAAAACAAAAGAAAATGAAGAAAAAAAGAAACAACAAAAACAACATGTTGAGAAAAAGAAGCCAGAACCAAAAGAAAAGCCTCCAAAATCTATAAAAGATGCATTGAACATGGTATAATTCTATATAATTTATATATTTCTTGTAAAATAATTTATATGGAAGTGTTATTCACTGGGAACATATTTTTCACAGATAAACCCAGATGAACTATCAAATGTTTTGACAAATGGTCAAACCAGATTTCCAGAAGCTCCACTAATATGGTTGAAAGATCTTGCTGCATTTCTTAATTTAAAAATACCTGTTGAGAAAGAAGATGCAATCTTCTCAGGGAAACCTAAAGACTATCCATTAAGTATAGTACCTAAACCAATTTCCTCTATCTTAGATAAAGCCATTGAAATAGCAGGAAAACAAACAGCACAACTTTTTTATGAAAATACTTTAACCGCAATGGCTACTGATATGGTGAAAGGATCCCCTGTTGTGGGTCATAAAATATTTTTACAACTTTTAGCATTTATGAATCCTGAAATGACTGTTGCTAATATTAGTAAATTGATCACTGTAAGAAATTCTTACCAGAATAGAAAAACAATAGGTTTATCCTTACTGTGGGCTTTATCTCAAGCGGGTAGAAAAGATTTAACTGTGGGATTAAAAGTTTGGCATGAAGTAATGTCACCTATGTTAGAAACAAAGAGTTATTCTAGTTATGTGGCACAAATTCTTAGCGATCTTGTTTTTGGGCATGAAAATGTTCATGACCTTAAACTAGAACTATATTTTGATATTGTTGAAGATACATATTCTGGAAAGTTTAATATCCCTGCTAGTGTAGGCAGAGAAATCAATAATAGCATTGAAAAATTAAGAGTAAGCATTAACAAATATTTACACATATTAATACACTTATTTTGAAATAGTAGATTATCATTCTATACATTTTTTCAGTCAATATTGTTCAGGAACAAAAATATAAGTTACGCAAAATTATTTGAACTATTAATAGGTAAAATCACACAAAAAGTACATGCAAATTACAGAGATGAATTAATTAAAGCCCTTGTAGATTGTTTAGCTACTGACCCTCTCTGTTTCCCTGTTTGGAGATCAATTTATGCTAAAAACTTGTACCAATCCCACCTTCTACTGACATACATTGGTAAGAATTATTGTTTAAAAATTAAGAACAATTCATATAACTATAAATATAATTTTATTTTATTCTTCAGATGCCAAATGGAGTACTTTATGTACAACTTTAAAAGCAAAGTCTCTTAAAGAAATGTGCATAATATTTCAGACAACTGATGAAAGGTGGAAAAAGGGAAGAGATGAAAGCCTTGCTAATGCTTGCAGTAAAATATGCAAGGTAGGTTTTTATTTATGATTATAATTTAATATTGCGTTTTTACGGTTCCTTTAATATCTTATTTCTATCCCCACTGTCTTGTGATGTGTCTGACACACTTTAGAGAAAGAAAAACAATAACGAGTGTCAACCAATCAGAACAAAGATAAAATGGCTTTACCGAATACATACTTCGTAAAGTCTCGTGAGATCTTCCGAATTTCGTGAAGTTACAGAAGTAACGTTATAATTTAATTTTATATATTCTAATTAGTAATACAATTAACACGCATAACATGTATAAACTTGTTAATAGTTAGTAATGCGTAACATTGATATAATTTTGTGTGATCAAAATCTTTTGAAATAATCCGCGCGTCATACACTCTTAGAAGTGTTACGTGTTACGTGTTACGTGTGCGCAAAAGGGCCTTCGTAACAGTGTTTCAACGGTACGTGGTATGCGAGTTACTTTTTGGCTGATTGTCGAGTTTGCATATGAAAACGATCATTTGATAATAAATGCAAAATATATGTATTAACAACATCTATTGAAACCTTTTTACTACAGTTAGTAATATCGTGTGACAAGTTTTGTTTGATCAGTTCGAATAAATTCAAATCTCTGGTGAAGCTTAGGTTAGGTAAGCTTGTTTTTTCGGAAGTGAACTATCGATCGCATATTGTCCCCCCAACACCATCAGTGACGACATTCATCGCTCATCCTTCGTCGTCATCGCACCTTTTTTTTTTATAAGTAAATACACATTCCAAACAGTTAAAATAAAGTAAAATAATTTAGAAGACATTTTCTTGCTGTGCTGATTTTGAAGGTAAAAGGCCTGTATGAATAAATTAGACTAATTATAATTCGTTTATTTCTACTGACGATATAATGTTTGACCTTTTGTTCTTAATTAAATGTAATTATTAATATTTTACACGAGTAATCGTGTGAAAGAATAGTGAATTATCGATCTTTTATATTATGTTACAGGTTTTACTCTTAAAAATGACAGCATCGTCCAATAAGAAATTTCCTTGGAGGAAAGGAATTATTTTGTTATTGCTTTTGACTGGTGCTTTTGTAGGTTACGATGTTTACCAACATGGCAGTTTTCAAGGTAATAAGCAAAATTAAACATTTACATTGTATTATTTCAATTTAATTGTAAATTATTAATGTAACAATTACTTAGGTTCCAATACAGATAAGCTATTGAACAACAGCGGATTACCTGTACACGGACAGAAAGCATGGATCGTAATACAAGATTATTCTTCTAAAGCACTTAAATTTATTGAAACTAGTTCCCCAGAATATTACAAAGCAACTGTTGAAGCATGTAAACCTTATATTAAATTAACTAGAGATTTTTATCTGGTGATGAAAAATATTTCTGTCAGAGTATATGACAATGCTATAGCATATGTTGGAAAGAACGGCCCCGTAGTATTACAAACAGTAAGTTTCACAAGCTTTATACGAAATATTCACATGTAATATAAATGTTTCATTTACTTTATAGGTTGAACATTATGTTCCGGGAATGTTAGATGAAATCCATTTACGAAGTAACCAAGGATTAGAATTGGTGAAAGTTTATTCTAATGTTTGTATAGAAAAATTCACTGAACACTCAAGTGCAACACTTAAGTGGTTAGAACACAATGTATTTGTGTAAGTAGCAATATTCCTTAATTATATAAATTAATTTAATTT